CTCTCTCTCTCTCTCTCTCTCTCTCTCTCTCTCTCTCTCTCTCTCTCCCCCCCTCCCTCCCTCTCTCTCTCTCATATCTCCGGTTCCCTGAGACACAACAATATTGAGATTAGGCCACTTAACAACCCTGTGATGGCCTCTAAGTATTCACATGAAAAGAAAAGTTAAACATCTCTCACTTTAAATCAGAAGTTAGAAATGATTAAGCTTAATGAAGAAGGGCTGTTGAAACATGAGACATGCTGAAAGCTAGGCCTTTTGGGCCAAACAGCTAAGTTGCAAATGTAAAGGAAAAGTTCTTAAATTAAAAGTGCTAACTGACTGTCTCCTGAAGTAGATCCCTGACCCCCATGCCTCCTGACAGGGAAACACGTTCCAGCAGGGGTCGACAGATACCTCATACAGGAGAGCTGTGTGTAGCGTCTGGCAGGTACCCCCTGGGACAAAGCTTCCAGAGGAAGGAGCAGGCAGCTCTCTTTGCTGTTCTGCAGCCTCCACTGGTGAAACCCATGCAAACAGGGTCTGGAGTGAACCTCCAGCAAACTCCAGCAGACCTGCAGAAGAGAGGCCTGACTGTTAAAAGGAAAACTAACAAACAAACCAATAGCATCAACATCAACAAAAAGAACCGCCACACTAAAACCCCATCCAAAGGTCACCAACGGCAAAAACCAAAGGTAGATAAATCCAAGAAGACGAGGAAAAAATAGTGCAAAAAAGGCTGAAAATTCCAAAAATCAGAACACCTCTTCTCCAAAGGATCGAAACTCCTCACCAGCAAGGGAAAAAGCTGGACAGAGAATGAGTTTAATAAATTGACAGAAGTAGGCTTGAGAAGGTGGGTAATAACAAACTCCTCCGAGCTAAAGGAGTATGTTCTAACCTAATACAAAGAAGCTAAGAACCTTGAAAAAAAGTTAGACGAAATACTGACTAGAATAACCAGTTTAGAGAAGAACGTAAATGACCTGATGGAGCTGAAAAACACAGCACGAGAACTTAGCATACTCAGGTATCAATAGCGAAATCGATCAGGTGGAAGAAAGGATATCAGAGATTGAACATCAACTTAATGAAATCGTGAAGACAAGATTAGAGAAAAAAGAATGAAACGGAGCTAACAAAACCTCCAAGAAATATGGGACTATGTGGAAAGACCAAACCTACGTTTGATTGATATACCTGAAAGTGATAGGGAGAAGGAACCAAGTTGGAAAGCACACTTCAGGATATTATCCAGGAGAACTTCCCCAACATAGCAAGACAGCCAATATCGAAATCCAGGAAATACAGAAAACACCGAAAAGATATTCCTTGAGAAGAGTCAGCCCTAAGACACATAATCATCACAATAACCAAGGTTGAAATTAAGGAAAAAATGTTAACGGCAGACAGAAAGATGGGGTTACCACAAAGGGAAGCCCATCAGCCTAACAGCAGATCTTTCTGCAGAAACCCAACAAGCCAGAAAAGAGTGGGGGCCAATATTCAACATTCTTTTTTTTTTTTTTTTTTTTTTTTTGACTTAAAAATATATTTATTTCAAGGTATAATCAGACAAACCCTTACTCCCTCAGTTTAAGTTTTTTGTTTTATTTTTTTTGACAATTGCCATTTTTATTTATTTATTTATTATTCCCCCCCCCCCATTTATTTTATTGCATTTTGGGTTTGGGGGTACATGTGAAGAACGTGCAAAATTGTTGCATAGGTACACACGTGGCAGTGTGATTTGCTGCCTTCCTCCCCATCACCTACATCTGGCATTTCTCCCCTTGCTATCTCTCCCCAGCTCCCCACCCCCCACCGTCCCTCCCCTATTTCCCCCCAACAGACCCCAGTGTGTAGTGCTCCTCTTCCTGTGTCCATGTGTTCTCATTGTTCAACACCCGCCTGTGAGTGAGAACATGCGGTGTTTGATCTCCTGCTCTTCTGTCAGTTTGCTGAGAATGATGGTTTCCAGGTTCATCCATGTCCCTACAAAGGACCTGAAC